TAATAATGAGTTTATTTGCATTTTTACAATTGTATTGAATTTCAAAATTCTCATTACTGGGTTCATATATAGCCACAATTTTGTACATCTTGTGAATATGCCTGGAGTGGATTAAAAATATTGTTTTAATAAAAATCAGTACAGAAATAGAAATTTAATTTCTGAATTAAATTGTTTTTCTCTTCTATAAATAGCAACCAATGGTTGTCCATGGCATAATAGATGCAGTAAAGATGAGGTTTCATTTTTCAAAAATTTTTTTAGTCTGCCTGAGCAGCAGTAGTTCTATAATAAACAGAAAGTATTGTTTTTTTTGGGGAAATGAAGACTTTTTTTCCCTCTGAATTATTATGAAGGATGTTGAACTAAAAAATTGTCTAAGTGATTAGAAATAAATAATAATTTGTGAAATGAGTTTCACCTTTACTTTGGTCAAATTTAAGGTAGTAAATATTATTTTAAAATTTGGTAGTGGGCTTTTAAAGCAACTTTTTAAATGTGCTAAGTTTAAAGGTTAAATTAGTTACCAGTTTGTGCTAGAGCTGACTATCTCTAAATAGTATTCTTCATTGTGACACTAAGGTTAGTGAGTGGAATTGTTTATGATTCTAATTGCTTAGGGAGAATTTTATTACTATAAGTTATTTAAAGTTTTCTGGAGAGTCAGATATTTTAAATAATATCACATTATATATTTTAAATTAAATAGTTTTTTTCTCTTCCACACAAGAATGCCAATTAAGGCTGTCCTATATGTTAAGAAAAGGTATAAAAATAATTTACTCATTGAAGAAATGCTAGACTTTGGGAAGTTCTATTATCTTGGAAGAAAAATATTTTCAACACCACACTAGCTTTTCAGCTTAAGAATAAAGCTGGGAAAAGCTGCCTTCAGCTATTAGTTTTCCTGAATCCAAAGAGACGGGTGGGGCAGGATCAAAAATACTTATTTGATCAAAGTTATTGGCTCTGAAGGTATTCTTACCTGTGTAAGAAAGATGAAAGGTGTTGTTTTTATTGCATGCTAGTAACAGTGTAATTTTGAACTAATTGGTGTTGAACTGCCAATCACCTAGGGGGAATGCAAATAGATACTCTTACAATTTCCTTTGAGGTAGTGAAATCTTATGTCGGGGCTGGAAGAAAAACAGAATTAATACCGTTAAATTGACCTTAAATGAGCTGCTTTGTGGTTTTCTTGGAGAATCCCTTTTTATTTTCCTTGACTAGTCCAAACAGGTTTTGTCTACCAATTTGACTTATTGACTAGACAATGCTGACATTGGACATTTTAGAATCATTTTTTAAAGTTAAGTAATGATGATACAGTTCTTCAGGATAGTTTGCTGATTTTTTTTTTGGTACAACTTAAATTCACACAACATTTCAGTATTTATTTGCAGTGTATTAAGATTCTTTATAATAAACATCACTTCCTTGTGGTCATCATAATGAAATAATTTGTCCCCAAATCTCATTTTTCTCATTGAATTATTACTGTATAATAAAGGATGGTAATATCTTTAATTGTGTGTGTGTTATTTCAGATGAATCTAGCCATTAAACAAAATCAAAAAAACAGTTCAAAGAATTTATTCTTGGTTCTTAAGTCAGTGTTTATCATTGACCTATTATGTACCCGTGAAATCACTTTGAGTCACTTGGTGGCAGCAAGTTTATTGTGTGCTTAGCATTATGTTATATAAAGGGAAACAAAACATACACAACATTTTGAATAAAGTAGTATTCAAAAATACCACTCTAGTTATTTTTGTTGTAGACAAAGCATACATTTAGCCGTCTCCCTCCCTCCCTCACTGCCATTGAGTTGATGCCAACTCATAGTGACCTAATAGGATAAGCTAGAACTGCCCTGGGATTTTCCCAGAGTGTGACTGTTGATGCAAGTAGAAAGCCCTATCTTTCTCCCATGGAGTGACTGGTAGTTTCGGATTGCTGACCTTTTGGATTACAGCCCAACATGTAACCACTATGCCACCAGGGCTCTGTTTGGTAGTTTAGACATTTGTATTGAATTTCATAGACATCGTATCCACAAAGTAGGACATAAAAAAATATGTCTTCTTACTTAATTCACATTGAAAGCAAAAAATACTGTCTACCCTTTTTGATTACTCATTACTTTTTCCTAGCATTGAACTGGTTACTAGAATGATATTTCTTTAGAAGTATGAAGAAAGAAACTAATGGAATTTTTGTTATAATAAGTCATATATATACATTAGATACACAGCCTTTAATATTTAAAAATTAGAATAAAAAACAAAATGCATTTGTCACTTAAAATCATATTGTAAAAGTGTTGATGTCAAAGATACTTGAAAATCATATAATGCTGTGCCATCTTACTGTGAATCTCTTCATTTTATGGAAATGCCCATTAATTCTGTAACAATTGTTTCCTTCTTTTTTGGCTGCCAGAAACTCAAAACTAAATTTGTATTCAAACTTTTTAGCACCTTTGGGTTATCTGGAACATTGCCTTACTAGCTCTACCTCTACTTTCTATTCCTTCTATATTGAAAAGTAAAAGACTTATATGTCTGAGATCTGGAAATGCCATCCAACATTTCATGCATTTGAGGCCTCAGGTTCGCTAAGAGAAGAGAGTATTGGTTTTCTCCCCACGTTAGCCATGGACAGGACCAGGAGAGGAGATGCAGAAAAGAGTAACTGCTCTAGAAAGCTGGGATAAAACTGTGGTTTCATGATTGAGGAACCGCCAAATTATGTTTCTCACTGGCTGTACCATTTTATAATTCAATGATGGATTTACAATCTAGTAATGGATGAGGTTTCCAATTTCTCCATATCCTTGTCAACACTTGTTATTTTTTGTTTTTATTCATAGCCATCTCAGAGAGTGTAAAGGAAGGGATATCTTATTGTGATTTTTTTAAATGATTCATATTTCACTGAGTTTTCAGTCAAATTTTACATAGCGAATTTGGTTCCCATTGAACAATTACTCTGCAAATTGTTCAGTGACATTGGTTACAATCTCCACAATATATCATCATTCACATTATTTTAATTTCCAGTAATCTAATTTCTCTCTTCCCATTACCTTTTCCTCTTTGCTTTGGAATAAATGTTGACCCTTTAGTCTTATATGCAAAGGTAAGTCAAAGAGTATTGCTACAAAAATCATAGAAACATTTATGAAACAAAACATGAAATTATGAAACCATTGTCTTTAGAAATAGTCTCCATCTAGGTCCACACACATCTTTCTAGACCATATCAAACAGCAGATTGGCACCCTCCAGGAACTCAAATTATGTTCCTTTTAAATGTTATTTGAGTTTTGTGGGGGAAAAGTCTGAAAGGGAAAGATCAGAGCTTGTATGGTGGATAGGGTAAGGTTTCCCAATGAATTTCTCCTAAGACAGCCCTTGCTACCCTTAAATAATTAGCAAGTACTGTGTAGTGATGGAGAGCAATTCCTTGGCACAACTCTTCTCACCTTTTCTCACCAATATATTTTTCAGTTTTTAAAGAACTTCTTCCTAATAAGCCCCATCATTATCCTTTGTCCTTCGAGACAGTCTATCATGTGTATCTCTTTGGAGTGAAATAAAACACCCAGTCACTATAACCTTCTTTGCTGCTCTCTGTGCCTTGAATTTGACTGGCCCAGCAGATCCCCACAGAAGCCATTGTTTAGAATGGGATTGGTGGTGAAGTCTGGTAAGCATCATTCTAACCTACCAGCCATAGCACCGGAGAAAAATAGAGTTATCTGCTACTGTAAAGATTTATAGCTTCAGAAATCCTGTATAGGGTTGAATTGGAATCAATGACAGTGGGTGTAGATTTTAGTGAGTTTAATGAGGTAAGATCAGTGGATTACTGAGAAGACTTGTCTTCAGCTGTCCACTGATCACAGAAACATGTTTAGACATATTTTATCTGGGAGAAAGCAGGTATGTGTAAACTGGAACTCTAGTAGAAATCCTTTTTGAATTTACCCTTGTAGGTGACTTTCAAAGCAGCACAGTATTCACAGGTTTATGAGGCAATCTGCCATCTAACTGAAAGGGGACCTCCAGGAGCAGTTTTTAGTTCAAAGGTGAAAAAAGGTATTTGAGAGTGCTAGCCTCATAAATTTTTCTAATTTCAATTTATCCACTTAATCTGGACTTCTTAAGAATTTGAGTTTTGTTCTGCTTCCATCTCTTGTGTCCTTAACGGCTAGTCCTGGCAGGCACACCCAATCCTACTTCTGCTTTCGGGTCACAGGAGACCCAAGTTTGTGTATACTTGTACTATTCGTTTTATCAACCAGTTTCACCTTTGAGCCTTTGGTTTCCTGCTTCGTCTTTTCCTCCAAACAAGGAAAGACCAATTGCTTTGGCTTACCTGGTCTCTCAAAACCTTTTTAGATCCCAGATGCTACTCCTTACATGAAAACGTAGAAGATAAATGTTATGAAGGATAGCATGATCTAGTTGTCCCACAGGACTAGGGTCTCTTCTGAGTCAGAGGGACTCTGGGGCATTGAGCAGGAATCAAGTGGCATGTTAATGTATATATGATCTCATTGCTATGCAAGATATAATAGCTTACATGTATGATTGTAGGTATCTTTATGAATATAAAGAGGGGTCAGGAAGTATCTACTAAATTGTTAACTATTGTCACCTTAGAGAGCTGGAAGTGCAATGAAAGAGGCATTTCATGATTTTCTTTAGAAAATAAGGACATGATACTTTCTTATTAAATAATGAATCATAGAATCTTAACAAAGTAAGAAACTGTTGTAGAAACTTCAGGCTTAATTGTCAAATACATGGAAGTTTGTAGTGCTAAAGAAACGGGTATGTTTTTCTGTGAATCACAACAGCATTTTTTTTTAAGCAAATCCAAGTATCAGGATTTGCAATGTGTTTTACATTTTAACTTACTGTGAAGACTATTTGGTGTATAGGATTAGGAATTCAGTTGTTATACTTCTAAAACACTTTTTCTTTGGATAGGATTATCTTCATCAGTGGAATACAGTATAATGGAGTTAGAACAAGAACTTGAAAATGTGAAAACTCTGAAGACAAAACTGGGTATTGTACATTTTCTGTGTCTGGTTTGTATACTGGTCATAATTTCTTTTTAAAGACTTTACATAGTCTAAAATATGAGAAAATAAAGAGAATTTTTAGTTTATGTTAGGAGTTTCTAATATGTACAGATTATTGATAAAGACTGTTTTAGTTTGGGGAAGTGATGAATATAAGTTTATTTTCTTTGTTTGCACTGTTTTGAATATCTGCAAAATGGCCCTTCAAAGAAAACAACATTATATGATGTTATATTTTAGTCAGTTATGGATGTATTCTGCTGATAACAGATTGACACAATGATATAAAGCAACAGATTTACTTATACTTTTCTTATAATAGACACCTGCTGTTATTGGTTTAATGTTTCAGCGACATCAGACCATCTTTACATTCTCCTAGCTTTACTTTCATCAGGATGATTCCCTTTACTTCACCCCCCCAGCCATTTTGTCTGAAATTATTAATTAACTCAAAGAATAATTTTTTGGTGCTGTTGATTTATTTTTGTTTATAATTATTATTCCTCTTAAGTTCTTTCTGTTCTAATTTCTTTATTAGTTTGTGGCATAATTATCTATTAAGATAATTTGAAATTCTATTAATAGATATTTTATTCATTGTTTTTCATAATTTTTTCTTTGTAACATGCCTTTACTGATATGAATGTCCTTCAAAGAAAATTTGGATGAGCTCCTCAAATTTTAATACTGTATTTTTGTTATTATTTAGTTTAAAATACTTTCTAAAAGTATGATTGTTTGCTTTTTTGCTCATGGATTATTTAGAAATATATTGGTTAACTTTAAAACATATGGGCATTTTATGGTTATCATTTTGTGACTAATTCCACTATGATCATAGAACATTTGGAATGTTTTTCATCCTTTGAAATGTGTTCGGAATTACTTATGACCTAGAGTATGGCCAATTTTGATAAATGTACCATGTATACTTGAAAAGAACATGTATTCTGTCATGTCATTTTGAGATGCTTGCCTCTTTCTGTCTCTGCCTCTTCTTCCCTCCTCGTCATTCTTTTCTCCCTCACTTCCCTCTTCCGTAGTCTTTTGTGTGCTTGTCAATTAGACTAACTCTGTTAATCTCATTATTTAGATTATCTATCCTTCCTAATTGTTACATCTGCTTTTATTGAGAAAGATGTTTCAAAGTGTTCCATGACTACTGTGAAGTTGTCAACTTCTTTTATTTCTGACAATTTTTGTTTTTTATATTTTGAATGTATACTATTAGTTATTTACAGATCTGTATCATACCATCGTCCTTATCCTTATCTTTAATCATGAAATATTCCTGTTTATTTATAGGGATGCTTCTTGGTTTCATGTTTACTTTTAGCTTAGCTACATCAGCTGTCTTTAGCAAAGTAGCTACAATCTTCTTTTTCCATACAGTTAAGGTGTATTTCTGGTAACCACCATATTAAAACTAAGCAATAACCCAAATCTTTCAATTAGAGGATAGTTCATTTCTACTTTTAATAGTTATCAACAGCTTTATTACTTATTGCTTTCTATTTATCCAACCGGTTTCATGTTTTTCTTTCATATATTCTTTTGAATTAATTTTTAAAAATGGTTCTATTTGTCTATTACATGATATACATATACCCTGCTGCTGATTTGTATGATTAAGCCCATTTATAGTATGATCCTTGAGGACAGAGTGGAAATAAATGCCCCATAGGGTTTCCTGGGCTGTAATATCTACAGGAGCAGATTGCCAGGACTTTTCTCCCACAGAACTACTGTGGCTTCCAAACCTTTGACCTTTCAGAAAGCAGCCAAAAGTTTAACCCTGGAAACCCATTGGGACAGATCTACTCTGCGCTATAGGGCTGCTATGAGTTGGAATTCACTCTATAGCAAAGGGTATATGATCATAATCTCTCAAATTATTGTGGATTTGGTAACTTAAAACTCCATTGCTGCCCTCCTAGGCTCTGTTGTCTTTGCTGAAAGCTTTGCTTTAACATCTTTTTCATTTATTTACTGATTTCTGAGCCTCATAGAATCCAGGCCAAATATTCATTAGTAAGTGCCTTGCTGGGAAAAATAATGCAATAGTCTTACTTCCGTATATTTTACAGAATATTGGCTTTCAAGTTTTGGTTGTCTTGATTGTGCTCTGATAACTTCATATAATTATTTTTAATTAAGTTGATCCATCTTTCCCCTTTATTCTTAGATTGGGAGTTGATGTGATATAATTTATCATAGCTACAAGTTTATTTTAGAAAACTGGAAGTGTTTGTCACTAGAATATTGAGCTATAGGAGATTTTATTCCTGTTACTTTATTCATTCAACATGTATAAACATGTGCATCTGGAGAAATTTTTTAGAAATTGTTGAAATACTTTATTTTATCACCTAATAGAAAGGCGAAAAAAGGCTTCAGCATGGGAGAGAAATTTGGTCTATCCTGCTGTTATGGTCCTTCTTCTTATTGAAACGGTAAGAACTTGTTTGTTTGGTAAAATGAAACAAATTGTTTTTGATATATTTTGGCGTTTGAGTATGGCCACTTCATGAACCAAATGGTTTCTAGTAAACTTGTGTCCTAGAAATGACATCCATTTATACCTATATTTGTAAAAATTCAGTAGAAGGAAAATGGAAATTAATGATAATTTCAAGAAAGTCCACAGGATTATCTATTTTCCCATGAAAAAAAAAAGACTTAGGCTTCTACTTTACTGGAAGCTAAGAAAAGATGAGATGTTGCCAATATTTTGCTTCAAACTCTATGAGTATGAAAATTCCATTATGAAATCAGATCTGGTAATATTTTCCGCTTTTTAAATCTTTAGGCTTATAAGTTATTTCTGCTCCCCTCCAATAAATAGTGAGATCAATTATTAAATGGATCTGGATGTTATTAATATTTGCCATGAGCTTTAAATGATAACAATTTGGACAATCTTTTAGTATGTATATGGAATTTTTATAGGTAGTCCAGTTAATTTAGTGTAATATGTAGAATTCCAGTCTAGACTGCTTTTGAATTTATTCTATACTGATTTTAATATGTGTGTGGGATTTTAAAAAAAAGTCCTTGAAATTGAGCTCTAACAGTGACTTTTTGTGTTGTAGTCCATCTCCGTCCTCCTGGTGGCTTGTAATATTCTTTGCCTGTTGGTTGATGAAACCGCAATGCCAAAGGGAACCAGGGTAAAGTAAAATGCTTACATATGCTTTTCTTTTACAAAAATGTGTTGTATATATACCCCTGAATCTTTTGAAAAGTAAATGAAAGCATTCACTTTTGAATGTGCATGAGGGTAAGTCAAAAGTATTTCTACAAAATCATGGAACCTTTTGTGAGAAAAAGGTGAAACTTCTGCTCCGTTAAGTGTACAGCCGTGGAAGCCCAAAGAGGCAGTTCTACTATGTCTTATTGGGTCACTATAAATCAAAATTGACCTAATGGCAACGAGTTAGGTTGGAGTTTATTCCTTTGCTGAAATATTCAATGTATTCCACATCAAAACAAAAGTTTGGGCATCCTCAAGGGGACCTAAATCTTGTTCCTTTAAATGATCTCTAAGTTTTAGGAATAAAAAGCAGGCTGAAAAGGACAATGTGAGATTTGTAGGGTAGATGGACACCTGTGCTACTCTTGAAGAGTAAACAAATGCAGGAATAAAATTGCTGAGTGCATCTTCATGGGCCTTTACTCAACCAATGTAGCTTTCAGTTTCTAAGACTTCTTCATAGTAAACCCCTATGGTTTTCCTGTGTCCTTCCAGAAAATCTCTCCAGGTTTCTCTTTTGAGAAAAATCATTTGCCATAACCTTCTGAGCTGCCCTCTCTGCCTTGCATGTAACTGTCTCAGCAGATTCCCTGTTTTGATTGCCCCTGTGTTTTGAAGGCACCCAAATGAGACTAAGACGAGTATTCACAGAGACATGTGTGAATGTGTTTGATTTGGAATAAGCCTGTGCATAAATGAACTAGGAACTTTGGTGGTACTACAGGTTAGGCATTTAAAAAAAAA